CGCGCCCGACCGGTGGTGGGGGGGGAGGTGCGAAGGGGGAGAGAGCAATTTTGAAATTGCTTATTTCAGCCAGCATACCCATGTAGACAATTCCTTAGAAAGCAGAGTCTTATGATCCACTCTGGTCCCAGCTGACAGCAGATCCTGCTGTTCTTTTAGCCGAGCTGCTCTCAGCTAGAGGTACACACACCCTGGGGGAGTGCAGAGGACTTCCAGAGGGTACATCAACTCGTCTAGCTATGTGCCTAGTTTTACAATAGGCACGAAAAAAGCACTAACAAGGTCAGTACACAATAAAATTCCATACAATGGCTTGTTTATATGGCTCTATGAGTAGTAGATACCCTGAGATGGAAGTATAATATTTATATTCCAACTGATTCATTTTGTAATGATATGGTAAAATAGAAAGTGAGCAGTCGTTCAGTAGTGGTGTGTTGTGACACTTCTGTGGTTTTGTATCTGATTCTGTAAGCAAGTGAGGTGTAACTTGGGAGTACAGAAGGCAGATCAGACTCCTGAAAGAGGGGTGGTAGTCTGGGGACACCTCCCTTCCTTCTCTGATTCTGTGTCTTGGTCTCCCTTAGGTAGGAAGGACCCTGCTATCTCAAGAGGAATACTTTACCACACTGCTCATTCAGCTCCCTTGCTTCAGGGCCCAAGTGTAAAGACACTTGGGTTCCTCTCCAGGTTTTTTCCCCTCTGAAACTGTGCACCCAGAAAGGCCAGTCTAGGGGGACACCGTCCCTTCGACGGCTGCTGCAGTGTTTGAGTGTCTGAGCCATTTATTCTTAATGGAGTGTAACCACAGGCCTAAACCCATGTTCCTGATGAAACAGCTTGAGCAGAGCGGCTCCTTTTCTTCCGCTTGGACATCTGCTCTTAGAACACAGGCACATAAATAAGTGTTAGGATAAAAGTCAATCTAATCAATACTGAGAAACTCCTGGTCTTGTACTGCAGGGTAAGATTCAGGGCCCAACGCATCTTTTGTCTTTTAATGTGGAACCCTTTTCTGGACCGGAGATGGGGAAGTTGTGAGCCACAGATCTCAGCACAGAACTGAACCGGAGCAGCTGAGTCATTTTAGCTCAGGGCTACAGAAAATGAACATGCTCCCAAGCAGCCCCAAGCAACTTTGCCTTAATGAAGGGTGGAGCACTGCAAGCAGCTGCCCGCCCAAATGAAACCAGGCTCATTGTAAGCGCTGCCGCCTGGTGGTACTGTGCAGACACGGCCATCGGCTGCGTGGACGTGCAGCTGAAGGGTCAGAACGCCAGGCAGGGATGAAGCCATCTTAGCCAAAGGAGCCCCAACCCTACGAATAACTTCTCCTACCACAGCTGAATTGTGCCTACGGGGTCATCACCTCTTATCTCAACTTCCTCACTGTCCTCTCTGGTCCTGACAAATTCCCTTTTCACTTGAGCCGTTTGAAATGCTGCCCCCAAGTCGATAATCCTGGCCGGTCACTTGGCCCCCATCTCCTCCCCTTTGGTTATAGATGGGGTTAGACAATACCTGCCCCCTCATTCCACATCCAATGACAATCTTGGTTGCCTGTTTTTTCAAATGTCCAGGAAAAGCAGACGGGGCTGTTCCATGCCACCCCATCGTGCCTGGACGGCACTCACCATAAATGTCAAAGCCACGTGTCACGGGGCCACCAGAGCTACCCCAACTTTTAAACAGTCCCGTGGAGGAACCCCCTTCAGTGTGCCAGAGCCCCCTCCCAATCCGAGGTCCCACTCCTCTTCAATGGCAGGCCACATGGCCTCAGTGCCTCTGCAGCTGAGCATCGGGGCTCTGGCACTCCTGTTTCGCACCCTCAGCTCTGCCAAATGACTCTGTGTGAGATATTCGAACTAGCCTTCTGGTGTGAGATATTCGCCCTCTCCAGGGACCTGGGCAGGTATTTGCAAGGGGCCTGGCAGCCTGTTCACACCTGCGCAGGTGTTAGTGCTCAGTCGGAACATGGCAGCCAAGAAATAAAGGCTTATGACATAGCCCATTCACTCCCCTCGGCCAGTGGTTTCTTGCAGATTCTCCATCCCGCTCCCAGAAGCGCACGCAGGCTCTCGCCCAAAAGCCACCCTTGTCTGACACTGGCCAATGCTGAGTTCACGTGGGCTGCTCTGGGAGGTGCCAGAGGCGTACCGTGCATTGCTCAGCCCTCGGGCTTCCATTGTCTTTGCAGACCCGCCAGGGCGATGGTCAGTTACAGCCAGGCTTTCACCGATCACATGGCACCTTAGGTCTCCTGTTCTTCCCCAGTGGGTAACAATGCAAAGCGAAGAGGGAAACTGAGGCAGGCAGCGTGCTTATAACAAATATTACAGAAAACTCCCACTTCATCAGACCCCTTCACAATCTTCTTTCACGTCCCTTTTTAAAAATTCCTCCCTCTCTGATCCCTATAAAGTACCATTATAGTGGATTAGCCGCCTGCTAGGGTGTTGTCACTACAGCATGTTGGACTGAAGTCCCACTTGGCTGGTTACTTACCCTGCCGTAACTGCAGTACTCTGACGTGCTGTGCTCAGCATGGAGCCCACCTAAGCTCCCTTTAAGCGGTGCGGCCTAGCAGCTTCCTAAGAACCGAACAGGCAGTCAAGGAACCCGCCCAAGGCGGTTGGCATGACCCTGGCCCAGACACAACCACGGCCAGGGCAGCCCTGGCTGGACCTGGAGTCCCCCCCACCTCCACCACTACAGCTAAAGTGATCCAGCCCAAGACTCCCCCAGGGATGGCAGGAGCAGCCTGGCCTGGACCCAGCCGCAGCACCAGGATGTGCTGCAGATGGGGAATCCTCCAGCTCCAGCCCAGTCTGACACCTGCTGTGGTTGGGAGGGGCACCTATCCTGAAGCCCCGCCGGAGCTGCCATAGCAGGGAGAGGCGGTTTCCCCCCCTCCCAGCTCAGGTGCTGCTGTCGGGAGTGGGGGGAGGATTCCTTGCTCCTCACAGTAGCCCTGGAGCAACCTCCTTCACCTCAAACCCCTCCCTGGAGTCTGCACCCCCAGCCGGAGCCCTCACACTCCTTAGCCTCCTGCCCCCGGCCTCAGCCCTCCACACTCAGAGCTCCTCGATCCCCTCCACATGAATTTTGTTATGGGCACCCATGTGTCACCTGCATGTCACACGTCACCTCCACATTGGTGCCCATAACAAAACTCATTCCGCACAGGGGTGGGAAACATTAGCGGGAACTCTGGCGCCACCTGCAGGTTGACATGTGACCGTGTGTGTATTTTCTTAGCAGTGCCTGACAGGGCCCCTCTCCAACCATGAAGGGCAGCCAGGCCCCCAGCCTTCCCTCAGTTCTCTCACAGCTCCAAGATGGCGTCAGCTGCGAATGCCAGGAGCGGCTGGCCTGAGCTATACTCCTCTTTGCCCAGATACAGGAGAGGTTCCCCCGCCCAGGGCCAGGCCAGGGCAGCCTGCAGAAGGGCTGGCATCCCGCACACTGACTCTGTGCTGCCTGTCGAGGTACCTCCGCTGGGACCGACCGCACTTTCCGGCAGGGACTCCAGGCTCAATGCAGGAGGGGAAGGGAAGAGATGTGATTCCCCAGGAACGTGGGCACCGATTAACGTGCAGCAGCAGCACTGATCCCTGTGTCAGCATGAGGCCTGGTACTGAGAGGACCAGCAGTCGAAGGCAAACTACAATACTGCAAAGGGCCCCGGTTCCAGGGCTTCCCTAGTTCTTGGTACCGGTGCGTGATTCTCCCTCACCCTTCCTACAGCTGCCAGCATCTCGGCATCATCTTCAGTTTGTGGCAAGGCTTCTCCCTCCATCTGGAGTCCTGCTGGGGGGACAGGTCTGCTCCGAGCTGTTCTCGGGGTCCCTCAAGGAGAGAGTAGGGCCTCTCCATTTTGGCAGGGAAGGGAAAGGCTGTGGAGCCGGGAGGGGGGAGGGGAGAGCGGGGAGGACAGCAAGGCTGTCAGCACTGAGGCTGACATGATCAGCATCAGGGATACCAGGGCCGAGCATTTTAGCACAACCTTCTTTTGCCATTGCCTGCTGCACTAGGCATTCAGCACCAGGTAGCTAGAGTATTCGCCAGAGCTAATATCACTGCCCTGGAGCCAGAGCTGCCTGGGATGGTGTGAATCTTGACTCCTGGGCCACTAGGTCCATGGGAGTAGGCGTGAGAGACAGCACAAGAGTCTGGGCCGTGTCTCTCCCTTGGGCAGAACAGGCATCTGCTGTTCCAGTCAGTGGGGAGCACAGGGTTTGTCTCAGAAGCCCTGTATCTGAAGCCTAGAAGAGACGGGGGGCCCACGGGGTGAGCTGGTCTCTGCAGGATGGCAAGGGGAGCTGCCTGGGCGAGGCAGTACCTAAATTTCACCTGGGTTCTGCTCTCCTCAAGTGGACGGCAAGGGAAATGGACAGAGAGCAGCACGCCCTCAGCTGCACACTAGGGCTGTGTCTAGACTGGCCAGTTTTTCCGGAAAATAAGCCGCTTTTCTGGAAAAACTTGCCAGCTGTCTACACTGGCCACTTGAATTTCCGCAAAAGCACTGATAATCTCATGTAAGATTGTCAGTGTTCTTGCGGAAATACTATGCTGCTCCCGTTCGGGCAAAAGTCCTTTTGCGCAAAAGGCCAGTGTAGACAGCTCAGATTTATTTTCTGCAAAAAAGCCCCGATTGCGAAAATGGCGATCGGGGCTTTTTTGCGGAAAAACACGTCTAGATTGGCACAGACGCTTTTCTGCAAAAAGTGCTTTAGCGGAAAAGCGTCCTGCCAATCTAGATGCTTTGTTCCGAAAATGCTTTTAACGGAAAACTTTTCCGTTAAAAGCATTTCCAGAAAATCATGCCAGTCTAGACGTAGCCTAGGGGTATGTCTAGACTACCGGCTTTTGTCGACAGAAGTTTTGTCAACAGATACTGTCAACAAAGCTTCTGTCGACAAAGAGCGTCTAGCCTACAACCAGTTCTGTTTACAAAGCAAGCCGCTTTGTCAACATGACAGTGTAGACGCAAAGGACAGTGTAGATGCAATAACGCCTTCTGTCGACAGAACTCTGTTGATACAAGGCGTTATTCTTCATAGAATGAGGTTTACAGCCATTGACAAAACTGCTGAGTTCTGTCGATGTTATGACGACAAAACTCAACAGCAGCGTAGATGCAGGTATAGTTTTGTCGACAAAAGTTCACTTAGTCTAGATTGTAGTCTAGACACACCCCATACATGGATGCTTTGAGAACAGGAGGTTAGAAATCGATTCTATTTTGGACTTGAGATCCATAATTTTTGCAATTTACCTGTTGGGAACCCACCGGGGCAGGCCCTGACAATGTGTGTGTGTGTGGTGTGTGTGTGTGACAACATACATGTGCTGAGGTGGGATAAGAGGCCCTCACAAAACCTGACAAGCTATTGTGCGTTGCTGTTTCGTTGTGGGGCTTTTTGGGGCCAGGCCGCAGAGGGGATCCTAAGTTTAATTCCAGCAGCAAAGACTGAGGGGAAGTAGGAGGTGTAGGTCTAACACGCAGACAGAGATTTCACATGGAAACAGAAAATGGAGCCAAGTGGCAGCACAAGTTACCTGAGCAACAGGCAGAGTAAAGCCACTGTTGGATTCGCCCGCAGGCTAGGGCTTGTAACAGGGTAACAGCAAAGGGAGAGCGATTGTATGGGCCAGGCTGGGAGCAGAGGAACTCCCACCAGCCCTGGTGTGTCCGTTTAGCAGCTCCGCTGACAATTCCCAGGCAGAGCTGCTGAAATCACTCCAGAGCTTGGTAAGAAACAAGGCCCCTGCACTGGGAGTGGGGAAGTTCCAATTTCTTGGGACTGTGACGTACGCACCCTGAGGTAAAGGGCGGTGGACGTGTAAATATTGATCCCAACCCGCCTCTCCCTTTTCTCCCATCTCTGCCCCGCCTAACGGTCATTTGCTCAAACCTCCGCGCTTGTGAGTACAGACTTGCCTGGCAAAGCCCCCCCAAATTATTACAGAGGCCTAGAATATTGGCTTGGGAGCTCAAATCAAAAGTGAAGAGATGGCCCTAAAATATGGTCCCTGCTGGTACATTGGCAGAAGGCACTATGGCCTTTGAATGCACCATAACCGGCAGTTGGCACAAAACACCTCAGTCCACCATACTGAGGGACAGACAGGGCCCCTCCTGTCTGCCCAACCTGCCTTGTGAGTGAGTTTATTGCTTGGGAAGAAGATAGACACCCTGAAAAATATAGTTCAAAAGAGTGAAGATGTAATGTCTCCAATGTAAAATGCTAGGAGCGGGTCCGTCTGGTTGCCACAGGTGGTGGGAGGGAACTGAGGGAAGGGCCAGCGTCCTTCCACTTTGGTTCCTTTGCACAGGCGGCAAAGGGTACATCCGTGGCTTTGCCAGACACGGAAAGCTTTCAAGCTTTTAAATGTGGAACGCAGGCGTGCCAACAACGGACACCCTCCTGACACCCATTCAAAGAACACCACAAGCTAATTGGGGCCACAACCATTGCCTAGCACAATGGAGCCCCGGCTTCTAGGCACGATCACTGTACAATAATGTGCAATTTCTCACCCTCTCTGTGCAGATATTCTGGGTGGGTCCCATGGCTGGCGGGATGCTCGCTGCTCTGATCTATAACGTAGTTCTCTCTCCGGACCTGAAGAGTCTCTCGCAGAGGCTGGCAATTCTAAAAGGCACCTTGGACATGGAGGCAGAAGATCCAGAGGAGGCAAAACAGAGCGCACAGCCGGTGTCATTGACCAATGTCGTACAACACAGGCTGTAGTCACGCAGCCTGCTAAGGCAGGTGGGGGTCCGTGAGTAGGTCTGCAGTAGAATCAGCCAGGTTCCAGCCCACGCTGGCTGAGCACAATGACGGTATTTGGCAGGGCCAGGATCCTGAGCATGAACAATGCATGCCTTCTGATACCGGCAGGGGGACACAATGTAAAGGGGAGCATGAAGGGGAGCACACTTGCTCGGCCATCGTGTCTACATTGGGAGGAACTTCCAGCCCCACCTTCCTTGGCCAGGCTGGCCAATCCTCCCAGCTCCTGGTGGAGGCTGGAGCTGTAGGAGCTGGGGCCAGGACCTGCAAAGCAGAAGCCAGGGAAATTGTCCCCTGCACCTTACCCAGCAGCCCCACCCACAAGCCCTGACTGGAGACCACCACGCTCTCCCCATCCCACATGCTCAGGATCTAACTGGGATAGGGGAGGACTATTTCCCCAGGTCAGATTGCTGGAGAGCCGGGGGTTGGGCAGGGATGCCTTCCTCTGTCACAGGGGGCATGAGTCACTTGTAGGTCTCTGTGACTTGAAGGCTTGAAAACAGGATTTGAAGACTCCAGTAACTCAGCCAGAGGCTATGGGGCTGTTAGAGGAGGGGGAGGTTCTGTGACTTGCAATGTGCAGGTCAGATGAGACAGTCACAGTGCTCCCTTCAGCTCTGAAAGCCTGAGAGTTGAGGCCTTCACTCTGATGCTGTGCTTGACCGTGAGGAGGTGGGGGTAGAACGGCTAGGAAAACCCATGAGCTGTAACTTGGCATCCCACTGGAAA